CATAATCACTTTCCAGAACATTCTCGTTCACCATTCCTGGCTGGTGGAACGATCTTCCCACCCCTATCCGGAATGCTGAATCTCTGACAATTTTCAAGAGACAGCTGAAAACTCATCTCTTTCGAAGCTACTTGACTTCATCATAAAAAAAAAATACTGTACTTATTCCTTCTCTTTCTGGCTTGTACTTATTTGAACAATGTCTAGAAACTTGGCATTACAAGCACTTCCTGTATCTGTTTGCCTCTTTAAGAAGAATCGCTTTATGTGTCCCCCAATTGTAAGTTGCTTTGGATAAAAGCGTCTGCAAAATGACTAAATGTAAATGTAAATGTAAATGCATGACCTTAAACAGTCCATTCACGCTTGAAAACCCTCCAATGTGGCTGAATTCAAACAAGTTTGCAAAGAAGAGTGGGCCAAATTCCTCCACAGTGATGTGAAAGACTCATTGCCAGTTATCACAAATGCTTGATTGCAGTTGTTGCTGCAAAGGGTGGCACAACCAGTTATTAGATTTAGGGGGCGATTACTTTTTCACATAGTGCCAGGCAGGTTTGGACAACTTTTTTCCCTTTATATATATATATATATATATATGTTTGTTTTTTCACACCATCCCCAGCCCATCACCATCCCTCTGCCATCTCCTGTCCGTTCCTTCTCTGCGGCACGATGTCGCGCCTTCTGGGAGGAGGGGGGCGATCTGTCACACCATTTCACTGTTTGGATTTTTTTTTCAGTTTGCTCTGTTTTCCCCCGTCTAGTTAGTTGTCATGGTTATTGATTTGAGTTCTTCATTATGTTATGGTTTGTCTTGTTAATTATCCTCATTTGGCCTGTGTATGGTCCTGTCTGTTCAGTGTTAGTTTGTCAGGTCTCATTAACATCAATGTAAACGTTTGTCACCAGCCTTTCTTGTGTGGATATATCTTGTGTGGATTACACTAAAGACCTTTTAATTTAATCCAATCAAATTAAAACTTTTTAGATGTTTATCATCATCTTCATCTTCGTGCATGTTCATCTACACCATTTTGTGACAGAATACCTGACAAATACAAAGACCATGGATATTGCATCTATTAATGTTGCCCCAAGGAGGGGCAACACTCTTAATCTGGAGGACTATGTAGAGGAGTTCCTCGACACTTGCCACCATGCAAGCTGCGATGACGTCTGCTTGATGGAGGGATTTTGGTGTGGTCTGGATGATGACATTTGTTTCGTCATGCCCAGGGGAGATCCTTACTGGATCCTGAAAGATTACATCAGGTTTGTGCTGTGGGTGAATGGATCCACACTCACAGTGGACGAAGTGGATGTCGACTGCAACATCAATGTCCAGCCACACCTCGCCCAGCCAAGCATCCCCCTGCCAGAGCCCTACCACAGACGGAGAGCCAAAGCCCACCACGACCGACGAGCCATCGCTAAGAGGAGCAATAGAGCTGAGGATCGCCCTGGAGCCAGAGCCTCATACAACATCTGACCAGGTGTGTGAGCCAGCAACGAAACCCACCACGGATGATGACACAGTGGAGTGGAGTGGATGCAGAGGAAGCCCCACCCATTGTTCCACCGCTGAGGGTGAGCTGAGGCAGAATTGATAGACTTTTATTCGGATATACCCAGCCTTCTTCCATCATCTGCTGAACTGTTTGCCTGTCCTGTTGTGACCAAGGAGGCCGTTTATGAATTACCTGTTTGTCCCATAACGACCATGGAGGTCTGTGTTGAACTTTCTATCCACCCTAAACTGTCTGTCAGCCCTGTCGGGACCATGGAGGTCATTCCCCTGTCCGCCATGCTCCCTGTGCTGGGAGTCGCAATGCAGCCCACACACACCATCCCTGAAACCCCTGAATGTCATGTACTCCCACCCAGCCTCCCTCTCCCACCTCCTCTTCTGTGTCCTCTGTCATCCTCTGCCCTGCTGCCATTGCATCCTGCCAGTCCCTCAGACCATCCTCAGCCTTCCATCTGTTGATTGGAGACACTGCGGGCCTGTTAGTCTCCAGCTTCATCGAGGTTTGAGGATCCCTGGTCTCCGCCTCCAACCTCAGAGACCCGGACTCTTAGCTCCCTCCTCTCCACCGTGGGCCATCAGTCCACCTGCTCCGCCAGGCTTCCTTGTCCCTCTGGCTCCACCTTGGTCAGTCATCAACCTGCCGTCGCCTCAGGACTCCACTCCTCTGGCTTCGCCTTCTGGATCCCCACCTGAGCCATCTGCTCAGCCTTGGCCCTCCGGATCCTCTGTGTCACCTTGGCTCGTCAGCTCTCCGTCTCTGCCCTGGGATCCTTTGCCATCGGTTCCGCCGCTGTCAGTCGGCCCCCTGGAGGGCTCAGCCCTTCTTCCACCATGGCTCCTCCCTCCATCGGCTCCTCTGTGGGCTGTCTTCCTGGCTAGGCTCTGGAGCATCTCCCGTCTCCTCCTGCTCCGGGCCCCTCCGTTCATTTCTCCCTGGTCATCTCTCACCCCCTGATCCTCCCTGGCCACCTCCAGAACCTCCTCCTGCCTGTCTGTGTCAGCCCATCACCATCCCTCCGCCGTCTCCTGTCCGTTCCTTCTCTGCGGCGCGATGTCGTGCCTTCTGGGAGGAGGAGG